TGCCTTCGGTTCAGGTCATGATCCCAGGGTCCTGGGATCGAGTCCCGCATCAGGCTCCCTACTAGGCGGGAAGCCTGCTTCTCCCTCTGCCTCTGCGTCTGTCTCTCTCTCTCTCTGACTCTCATGAATAAATAAAAAAACATTAAAAAATAAATAAATATTGTATGAGTGAGGTGGTCCTTGTTCCCGGTCATAAAGCAGGAGAGTGCAGATTAGAACTAGCAAGCAAGCATAACGAGTTCAGTGGCCCTCACTGTTTTCCGAGGACAGACTGGGGAAGAGGGGAGAGATGGAGCAGTTCTCTCTCATTAAGAGAAGCGGAGGCAGGCGGGGCAAAGCTGGACCTCTGAGACTCCGGGAGGACCGCTGGCCTCGGAGCTGGCTGCCGGTCTACACCCCGGCTCGGCCGTTGGGCAGGAACGTGGCCCTGAGCAGGTGGTTTGCCTCTCTGTGCCCAAAGTCCCCATCTGTAACGTGGGATGATAGTAATGCCTCCCCACTACCGCTGTGGTAGGCGTCAGACAAGCTGATGGATGTGAAGCACTTAACGATGTAGCTGGTTCACGGTGAGTAGTGCGTAGATGTGGCTTTTTACAATATTAGAATCCTTTCTGAGGACAGCTGGGCAATATGTATCTACAGCCATTAAAATGTGATTTGGGGGGCGCCTGGGGGGCTCAGTTGGTTAAGCATCTGCCTTCGGCTCAGGTCATGATCCCAGGGTCCCGGGAGGGGAGCCCCGCATCGGGCTCCCTGCTCAGCTCTGTGTTCTCCCAGGTGAGGCTGACGGTCACTGCCTCTGCCTGCCGCTCCCCCTGCTTGTGCTCTCTCTCTCTCAAATAAACAAAATCTTTAAAATAAATAAATAAAATGTGATTTTTGAGCCAGTTATTTCATTCTTGAGGATGTATCTCAAGGAATTAATTTAAAAAAAAAAGAAAAACAGGTTATAACTTAGGACAAAGGTTTGGAAACCACTGTATTTACAAAGCAAATAACCAGAAACAACCCAGAAGGCCAGCGAGAGGCTGATGGTCAAGTGTACGCCCCCTCGCCCTGACCGAACATTCCAACACGGTAAGAGGGCCAACGTCGACTCTCCATGCTTGGCGAAGCGTTCTCGAAGTAACACTCAATGAGAAAAGTGGTCATGGAACTGTGTGTGTTTTGATAACATTGGGCACATATTGCCTGGCTGTTTGTGTTTGGGGATAAGAAATGCCTCCTTAAGATTTACTTTCAGGTATTTTAAAGTAGGTTGGTCACTAAATGAAATGTGTCTTTAAATTCGGTGTTGGATGTTATGAAGAACGTGCTGCTCCAACACCCCGTACGTACTCAGAGCCCCGCGTCCCTCCCCAGGTCCACCTGCAGCCGCGCCCACCTTCTCGGCCAGGCGCTGGCGTCCGCGGCTCGGACACCTCACAGAGAAAACATCTGAAGGGCGGTCACTTGAACCTCAGTGCCTGGTAGCACATAGTAGGCGTTTAAGAAGTTGAATTATTATTATTATGTGTGTGTGTGTGTGTGTGTATAACACATACGTGGTACTGGAATTTTCTTCTCCCCTCTTGGTCAGGGTCCTCATTTGGGCGCAAAGAAGGGAGAGGGTAGGGATTACCCTCACTGCCACCAACAATTCAGGGCAGCAAACGATTTGCTTTTGTTTTTAAATCCCAAGGCCTCCTGCACACGTGCGCCAAGGCTCTAGTGACAAACCCCTTCCCTGTAAGGAGCGTGTGCTGGGCCACCCTGAGAATCCTGGCTTCTTCGTGGGGGACACGCTGTCCTTCACCTCAGGCAGTCAGAGTGAGCACAAGCCGACGTAATCCGGCGCCCAAATGCACACAGACAGCGAAATGGTTGCTACTGCAGTCAAACTAAAAGTCATGCAGGAGGGGCGCCTGGGTGGCTCAGTCCTTAAGCATCTGCCTTCGGCTCAGGTCATGATCCCAGGGTCCTGGGATCGAGCCCCGCATCGGGCTCCCTGCTCCGCGGGAAGCCTGCTTCTCCCTCTCC